GAAACGGAGGCGCGTAGGGGAACAAATCGTAGGCGCTGCGGAGGCGAGGAGGGATGCCTGCGATTTGTTACGCAAACGCGTAGAGGCTGCTCTTCCCGCAGCGCCGGAGATGTTGCAGTCTCAAAATAGATACAGAAACCCCTTTTAATCAGTCCCCCTACTTTATGTCTGATGAAGGGGATTTTGTTCTCATAAAATGGATTTATTTATCCATTATAAATGCAAACATAAAAAAATATCGAATTTTTAGAAATCGATTTTTTTGTGACCCGATATATCAGCTTACGATTCGAATCGATTTATAAAATCGATCTTTTTTGGAAAGAATCTACATCCCTACTGACGATGACAATGACAATACAAAACAGCGTCAGTTTTACCGTAGGAATTGACATAAATTTGCAAAAATAATTGATTTTCAATAATTTTATTCTCAAAAAGTATGCGATTCCGCATATTGAAACTTTGCAAAACGCTTTCTTTTAGTGAGTACTATCTACAAAAAAATATGGGCATTTAAATCGATGGTCCATATTGGAAATTTTAACCAAATCTTGTGTATCCCTACATATTTCTATTCTATATGATCCATGAAAAACACACAAAATGGCACAATACACATCGAGACGCAAACGCAACAAGTGATTATAATATTCTCTTTCGCAATTACGAAGGACTGCGCCGATCACTGACTAATTAGTAGATTCTACACGAATGCGCCGAGGTCAATCGCAGAACTGTCAAATGTCAAAAAATCCATTTCACTCATGTGCACTCAATGATATTCTGCATGATTAATTTATTTAATTATTATATTATTCTTAATAAATCTGTACTATACAAAGAGTAATAAAGAAATACTTACTGATTAAATAAAAATAATGTTTAAAACTCAGAAACAGAGTTCAATTATTAAGTCAAGTAGCAGTATGTGGAACATCCTAGAAAAAGGGTAGTTCAAAATATGGTGGTATAAGTTTACCCTTGACGTACTTACTTACTTACTTACTTACTTATCTTCACGCACAATCCCTGACGGGGTAGCCAGAGAGAACAGATCGCCAAGTGTCACGATCCTTACAAACCTCTTTCGCTTCTTTCAGATTCATTATCTTCTTCATGCATGCACGTCTAAGTATCCGAGTACTTTTGACCCTACCCTCTTCGAGCAATTTGCTCACATGGTCTTCGAAAGTTAGTCTCGGTCTACCTCGACACCTTTTAATATTAACTTTCGCGCTATATATTTTCTTCACCATTCGGTCTTCACTCATTCGCTCAACGTGCCCAAACCACCGAAGCACGCCCTTATCAATTTTTGTGATAAGGTCATCTTTCAAACCTGCCATATTGCGAATCTCTTCGTTTCGCTCTCGGTCGGCCATGGTAACGCCGCACATTTTACGAAGAGATCGCATCTCCACTGCATTCAACTTACTTTTATGCTTCTTCTGGCATACCCAGGTTTCGCTGCTATATAACAAATTCGGTACCAACACTGCGTTATATATTGCAAGGCGTGCACTCTTCGCTACGCCTTGCCTTTTCACTAACGCAGTCAGGTCACCATTGACTTTGTTCCCAGCAGCGACACGCCTGTCCACATCTAAATCACATCTTCCATCCCGGCTAAAAGCACTCCCCAAGTATACAATTTCATTTACCTGTTCTAGACATTCCTGATTTACCCATATTTCACACTTCGTTCTCTCTTCGTCCCTTTCAAATACCAGAACCTTAGTTTTATTAGCATTCAAACGGAGACCTTTAATTTCACATTCCTCTTTCATACACGTGACTAATGCCTGCAGTTCTGCCTCTGATGGTGCAATAAGCACTGCATCATCAGCATACAGTAGACAATTTACTTTTATGTCACCCAATTTCACACCCAAACAACTATCTTTCAGCTTCTGTAAACAGCTGTCGAGATACAGTATGAACAGCCAGGAAGACATGACACAACCCTGCTTTACGCCCGTTTGGACGTTAAACATGGGTGACAGGACATGCCCTACCCGCACACAGGCTTTACAGTCACAGTCAAGAGACTGCACAGCCCTTAGCAATTGACCATCCACACCATACCCCGGCAACAGTTCCCACATTCTCTTCCTTACAACCTTATCAAATGCTTTCTCAAGATCCACAAAAGCACAGAAAATCTTCTGGTTAGCAGCCAGAAGCTTCTGCGTGATCATGCGGAGAGAAACCATTTGATCCGTGCATCCTCTTCCAGGTCTAAATCCGCATTGTGCCTCCCATAGAAATCTTTCCGATTTCTCTTGCATCCTACGTGTCAAAACCTTCGAGTAAACTTTACTTGCTAAACTGGTCAAGCTGATCGCCCGATAGCACCCGCAGTCAAAATGTGAACCTTTACCTTTATATAAAGGCACAATGACTGCGGATCGCCAATCATCCGGGACATCCCCCGTCCGCCAGCACAAATTGCACAGCAGATGAAAGCTGTCCCAGACGCGAGGCCCACCATACTTGACCATTTCAGCAGTAACTCTGTCTAGTCCCGCAGCCTTACCACATTTCAAACTTCGAATCGCACGTTCAATCTCTTTCATACTGATGACCTCAGTGTCATCGAGGTCCGGGACTGGCGTACCAGTCACGGCGTCATCCCCGGATCCCTCACTAAGATCATCACACGCATACATTTCTCTATAAAATTCGCTCCATCGCTGCATGACGTCCGATTTTTCTGAGAGGACGTCATTAGTTCTCGAAAGCACTTTGTTCATTCTTAAGGCCGTCGCACCACTTCGGGCCCTTCCAACCTCTTTCCAGAAGAGTTTGGAGTTCTCCTTAAAGTTGTGCGACAACTTTTCGTCCGCTTCCATTCTACACCTTTCACGCACTTCCTCAATCAGTGCTTTCGTGTGAACTTTCTGCAGCCTATATCTTTCTTTCATCTTCTCTCTCATATCCTTATCATTACTAGAGGCCAAGTAGTCTAACCATGCTTTCTTCTTCTTCTTTACAGCTTCTTTCACTTCATCATTCCACCATGCATCTCTTCTTTTACTACTGCCTCTTTTTATTGTTCCACACACTTCTTCCGCTGCACTTACCATTCCATCCCTAAGGTTCTGCCATGTTCTTTCTACACATTCGTTTCTGCCATTGATGGTGTCAAGCTTTTCGGCTACCCTCGCATGATATTTGTCCCTAGTATCCGCTTCCTGAAGCTTCCAGCTTCGGATGCGACAGACCGACTGTGGTTCTGTTACTGCCGTCCGGTAGCGCCAACCCATGAACAGACCCCTAAATCTAGTAATCACTAGATAGTGATCCGTTCCCAGGTCAGCACCCCTGAACACTCGCGTATCCATCACCTGTTTTCGCAGTCGGTCATCCACCAGGAACAAATCGATCATACTTCTCTCATTCTTTCGTTCTCTAGTATACATATAGATTTTCTTGTGATTAAACATAGTGTTTGTCACAAGAAGACCCTTTTCCTTGCACACCGCCAGTATAAGCTTGCCAGCATCATTAACCCTTTTATCGCCAAACTTTCCAAGTACCGACTCGTACCCTGGTCGAGCGGTACCAACCCATCCATTCAAATCACCACATACAACAATTCTTTCGTTTCCCCTAGCCAAATCTAGAACTTCTCTTACATTCTCCCAAAACTCCTCCAGCTTAGCCCTGGACGACGAAGCTACCGGCGCATAAACAGCCAAAAGGAATAACTTCGTCAGTCCCAATTTAAAGCGAACCCAGAGAAGTCTTGAGTTCACAACCTTATATTCAGTCATAACATCGACCAACCGAGAAGACAGCAGCACTACCACTCCCTGGCAGGCGATCTCGCTCTCCGGGACTCCGGACCATAGAGCTAACGCCCCGCCAGGGAGCTCTTCAGTACCACTGCCCTTCCGTTTGGTCTCCGACATACACACGACATCTAATTCTCTTTCTTTCATTATCTCGATCAACTCATTCGTCTTATCTCTCATGCCTCCTCTAACATTCCACGTGCCAACTCTGCACTCTGTCCTCCACCTTCCGCCGTGTCGGGTTGTGCGTGACGGGTGGCGGTCCCCATCGCCGCTTTGCGCGCTGCATTCCACACCAACGGGGACGAGCTGGTGTGCGTCGCCTTGGGGGGACGCCCTAACCCTCGTTGGCATGGGTGCGCAGCTAGTAGAATTGCAGCCCTGAAAAGGGCTGGCAGGGGTCGCGACGAGCACGCTTCTACAATGACCCCCTTGACGTAGAATAAGCATAAATAAATATTAAAAATATTTTTCTCCTGCGTTTCTTTTAACATTGTGATAAGCGTATTTAACTTACAATTCAATTAGCTGAATTTTAAGATTTATTTTATTTCTATACATAGTCAGGTGAACAATGGTCATCTTTTTTTAAAAACCTTATAGCCCTCCTTAAGAGGTTGTTTTGAAATTTCTCACAAGAGTACTTTCAGTATGTCTCGAGTCAACCGCCCCGTAAAATAAATAAGTCATAAATCTGTAACATGCTATTTCCCTCTCTTACCGTTACTGTTACAGTCTATTAAAGTCCACTGCTGAACTTAGGCCACTCCCATAGATTGCCTCACAGGAGGGATATTTGCCATAGTTGCCACGCTTGGCAAACATGTTTTACAACCGCAGTTTTTTTTATTTTTAGTCTTTATTATAAATCTTCTCATCTCATCTAATTCCTGATTTCATGTCATTTCCTGGTTTGTTACCCTCTGTCTCCTCTTACGATACCCACGGGATGATATGGGGTAGTGGATATTAATACAATATTTTTCATACAAACTTTGTACCCCCTTTTTAAGACCCTAATTGTAGATTATTGCAAAAACTAAATACGTAAAATTTAATTCCAGAGTGTATGCACTGACATTCAAATTAAAAAAAGTTAATTAATTTACTCTTGTCCCTTCGTAAAAATCGGTCAATCCGAATTGATTTATTTAAATTTTTTTATAGAAAAAGGTTTTTTTACACATATTGATATTGCAGGAACGACGAAGTCTGGTAACGTAGGGTTGGCACTGTCCCAAGGCTTAATCCTAGTGAACATGGTGCAATTCGGCATAAAGCAGGCGTCGGAGGTAGTATCTCAGATGACGAGCGTGGAGCGCGTGGTGCAGTTCACGTCGCTGCCGCAGGAGCAGGCGGACGGACCGGCTCCGCCGCCCGGCTGGCCGCAGCGGGCTCGACTCGTCTTCAAGGACCTTTACCTGCGTTACGACATGGAGGCTGAACCGGTACTGAAGAATCTAAACATTGTCATCGAGAGCGGTTGGAAGGTAAGGAACACACACGCATTTTTTATTATAATACTAGCCATCTCGGTGGACGTTGTTGTGCCTTTTCCGGTAAATGCCTCGATGAGTTACACTCTAGAATTTTACAGTGTGAATATAAAAAATTGATAAATTCAATTGGGCATACCTTAAGCGCATTAAAAAAAAATACGTATAACATTTTTAAAGTAGTTTAAATACATTTCGACAGCTCTATCGGCTTCAACACCCTCGAAAACCATGAAAATGACACCCAAGATGAAAAAATTGATATCTATTGCAGCCGCCATCTTGGATTTACATTTCGACAGCACTATCGGCTTCAACGCCCTTGAAAACCATGAAAATGATACCCATGATGAAAAAATTGGTACCTACTTCAGCCGCCATCTTGGATTTACATTTCGACAGTACCATCGGCTTCAACACCCTCGAAAACCATGAAAATGACACCCAAGATGAAAAACTTGATATCTATTGCAGCCGCCACCTTGGATTTACATTTCGACAACACTTTCGGAATCAGCACTCTCGAAAACCATGAAGATGACACCCAAGATGAAAAAATTGGTACCTGCTTCAGCCGCCATCTTGGATTTACATTTCGACAGCACTATCGACTTCAACACCCTCGAAAACCATGAAAATGACACCCAAGATGAAAAAATTGATATCTATTGCAGCCGCCATCTTGGATTTACATTTCGACGGCACTATCGGCTTCAACGCCCTTGAAAACCATGAAAATGACACCCATGATGAAAAACTTGGTACCTACTTCAGCCGCCATCTTGGATTTACATTTCGACAGTACCATCGGCTTCAACACCCTCGAAAACCATGAAAATGACACCCAAGATGAAAAACTTGATATCTATTGCAGCCGCCACCTTGGATTTACATTTCGACAACACTATCGGCATCAGCACCCTCGAAAACCATGAAGATGACACCCAAGATGAAAAAATTGGTACCTGCTTCAACCGCCATCTTGGATTTACATTTCGACAGCACTATCGGCTTCAACACCCTTGAAAACCATGAAAATGACACCCAAGATGAAAAAATTGATATCTATTGCAGCCGCCATCTTGGATTTACATTTCGACAGCACTATCGGCTTCAACACCCTTGAAAACCATAAAAATGACACCCATGATGAAAAAATTGGTACCTGCTTCAGCCGCCATCTTGGATTTACATTTCGACAGCACTATCGGCTTCAACACCCTCGAAAACCATGAAAATGACACCCATGATGAAAAAATTGATACCTATTTCAGCCGCCATCTTGGATTTACATTTCGACGGCACTATCGGCTTCAACACCCTCGAAAACCATGAAAATGACACCCAAGATGAAAAACTTGATATCTATTGCAGCCGCCACCTTGGATTTACATTTCGACAGCACTATCGGCTTCAACACCCTTGAAAACCATGAAAATGATACCCATGATGAAAAAATTGATATCAATTGCAGCCGCCACCTTGGATTTACATTTCAACAGCACTATCGGCATCAGCACCCTCGAAAACCATGAAAATGACACCCAAGATGAAAAAATTGATATCTTTTGCAGCCGCCATCTTGGATTTACATTTCGATAGCACTATCGGCATCAACACCCTTGAAAACCATGAAAATGACACCCATGATGAAAGAATTGGTACCTACTTCAGCCGCCATCTTGGATTTACATTTCGACAGTACCATCGGCTTCAACAACCTCGAAAACCATGAAAATGACACCCAAGATGAAAAACTTGATATCTATTGCAGCCGCCACCTTGGATTTACATTTCGACAACACTATCGGCATCAGCACTCTCGAAAACCACGAAGATGACACCCAAGATGAAAAAATTGGTACCTGCTTCAGCCGCCATCTTGGATTTACATTTCGACAGCACTATCGGCTTCAACACCCTCGAAAACCATGAAAATGACACCCAAGATGAAAAAATTGATATCTATTGCAGCCGCCATCTTGGATTTACATTTCGACAGCACTATCGGCTTCAACACCCTTGAAAACCATAAAAATGACACCCATGATGAAAAAATTGGTACCTACTTCAGCCGCCATCTTGGATTTACATTTCGACAGCACTATCGGCTTCAATACCCTGGAAAACCATGAAAATGACACCCATGATGAAAAAATTGATACCTATTGCAGCCGCCATCTTGGATTTACATTTCGACGGCACCATCGGCTTCAACACCCTCGAAAACCATGAAAATGACACCCAAGATGAAAAACTTGATATCTATTGCAGCCGCCACCTTGGATTTACATTTCGACAGCACTATCGGCTTCAACACCCTTGAAAACCATGAAAATGACACCCATGATGAAAAAATTGGTACCTGCTTCAGCCGCCATCTTGGATTTACATTTCGACAGCACTATCGGCTTCAACATCCTCGAAAACCATGAAAATGACACCCAAGATGAAAAAATTGATATCTATTGTCATTATGATTCAGTGATTATGATTTTTGGCACTAAACCAACATACATTGTGAATAAGAGTAATTTTCGTCTATAAAATATAGTTTGTTAATAACTTGACTACATCGCCACCTACCGTATCCTAGCATATAGATATCCTTAGAGTATAGGTACGTAAGCATGCTATGCTAGCTTATGTATGCTCAAGCTATGACCATGAACCAAACCATCGTGTCGTCAAAACAAATGTTAGTGAGTAAAGTCAAGATTATACATATAAAGATGAGCCCACACGTGGCTCTTTTGGATTTTCTAAATTTATTTCAATTGAAATATATTTAGAAAATCCAAAAGTGCCACGTGTATGCTCCTATCATCTGTAGTAAATTTATTTGAACAAGACAATCGGCAAGTATTTACACTAGGTGGACGAATGTTTTTTTGGGGCATGCCTTTACCTCTAGATGATTTGTATGATTGACCAGTTTTTTTCAGATACTTTCTTTGTTGTTTTTTCCATTGACTAGGGTTTCTGGTCCTTTTTTAGACTTTGGTACAGTACTAGCCTGTTACAGTACTTCCTTTGAATAGTCTCAGAGGCTGCATTATTATGTATAATTGATACATTAGAAACATTTTTGGAGCGAGATGTAGAGCCGGAGTATAACTTCTGTAACTGTAATAAAGAAATTTACAAACACAAGATATGCGCGAAAAACATAACCCTTGGCAGTCGGGTAAAATACAGACTTAAAAGTAGTCAGACAAGACAATAAAAACTTAAAAGTAGTTTTTGTAAATGTATTATATTCTGTAGAGTGATTCTGCTAAATTGTTTATGATGATGCAACCAATATATTCCCAAAAGGTCTTAAGTAAATTAAAAATGACAATATAAATAAAATTCAAATATATAAATAATGATATACCGTCATTGCTGTTTTGGAAAATGCGAACAAATAAGGTTTCTACTTTTATTTGAAATTAACCCAAATTAAATTTGATTTATTGGCAACTACGTTTTTGCCTGCCTATCGAACCTCACGAATGTGTGCGTGCGCAGTAAAATCAGTTAAAATAATAAAAAGGACAGTAGGTATGTTTGAAATGTTTTTTTAATTAAGTTTTATTCACCATTTGCCTATATTACTTATTCTGAACATTCACTGCAAATTTGACCGGTTGTTACAAAATAACCCTGTATATGCCTATATGCTATAACCCTGCTATAACTTTAACTATATGTACTAATATATTAAAGATGTATAATTTGTTTGTATGTTATTATTAGAACTACTGAAACAATTCTAGAAAAATTTTAAATAAAAAGCTACTCTATCCATATGTAATAAATATAGGCCATGTTTTATTTTGTTATTAAATAAGTTTTTGGTTCGAAATCTCAATGTGTATTGATCAATTCGTAAGAAATAGCGTTCATGGTTGATGGAAGTATAACAGTCATCAGTGGGCTAACTAACTCAACTAAAGCCTGTGACACAATATACTTAGCTTATATAATATATCTTCGTCGAAGATGGGCGTAAAGTTTATTCAGGCAATTTGTCATATCTGGCTGCGTCTTGGCTCTGTGTGTGGTAATGAGGGACGGCTATCAATTCTAAATCATTGTAGGTCGGTATCGTGGGACGTACGGGAGCGGGTAAATCATCACTCATATCGGCTTTGTTTCGCCTGGCACCCATTGACGGCCACGTATACATCGACGATGTCGACACCGGCGAAATTGCGCTCAAGGTAAATTGTAAATTTTCTTTTAGAGCATCCTATGCCTATTGAATTGATTGCATTTGAAAGCTTCTATTGTTTGTGTTCAAACTGGATTTCAAATGAAATTGGTATCTGTTAAGTATTTTATTAAATTGTAAACTTCTTTTGTATATACTATATGTGGGATAAATACGTAAAAGTCGAGTTTGTTTGAATGACTAAGTCCTAAGCAAGCATATTTGCGATGAGTTACACAAAATCGATTCGCGCGGGTTTCGTTTAAGTTTAATCGAAACCTACATTGAAAAATACTACAACATTTTTCATGTATTTCAGAATTTAAAAAAAAATTAGTTTATTCATTTTTCAGCTTTTTAAAGCGACAATCTCAAACCAACAAAGAAAGCCATTTTAGCCGCTTTGCATACATAATTAAGGCCTTAACTGCGGTTGAAATGCCTAAATTCTTGGATATTTAAGTAAACCTTGATTAGTGGAATTGAAAAATGTATTTTTATATAATTTAGATGTGGAACGACCAACATGCTCTCGTTACTTAGATTTCGATAGTTTTTAATACCTATGTAATTTTATTGTTGCGTATTTTTATTACTTAGTTGATACTGAATTTTATAATTATGTATTACAATAGAACGCTGTTTTTATGAGTATGACTGTAATGAAATATTATTGGGGAAGGAAATATAGATACAGATACTTACATTTAGGTACACTGTTATCAAATTAAATCAAACAATTAAAATAAATAAAAAAATGGTGCTTCACTAAGTATAAATAACTATATAAAGACATTCTATGGGTTTATGTTTTTTTTTTTTTTAAATAGAAATAGTTTTTTGATAAAGTTAGAAATGAATATTCGCAGTAGAACTGTACTGTACTGAACTGTACATGTAGATATAATTTTTCTAACCAACCATAAATATATGATGAGAATATGTATATAAGTATAAAGGTTACCTCACACGGGACAGTAATAATATAATATTATATCTTCCATTATCTACGCATGAAAACTTTTAAAATCTCTGAATCCCGAGGTATGTCCATATTAAGAGGCTGAATAGAGTCACATTTATATGCATGGGGATCGTTTTGTAATTTCACGTCATTATCGAAAAAATTGTACGTATTTCAGGTGGCGGTTTGCAAAACACGATTCCACAAAAATTCACTCAATAGAAAATAATTGCAAAGTTGCTTCTGAAAATACTTAAATTATCAACGTCAATTTTTTTTACGTGGTGAAGCCTTGCTGCAGCTATATTAATAGTAGGTATAGTTGTAGCACGAATGGGTCGGCTCGACCGGCGAAGGACCACGCTCTCACAGAATACCATTGTAAAATAGCAGTTTAAACCTCCTGTGTTTCGTATGGTGAGTGTAGAGAACCGGAGAACCTTTTTACTGGAAACGAGGCATTACATCTTAGTCCTCACGGGTGACATTGACGGGTGACGCATCTACATTTTGATACGTAATCGAGAATAGATGTAGATTTCTATGGGCCGTAGCAACCACTTACCATCAGGTGGACTGTGTGCTCGTTAGTCACCCTTATTCTATTAAAAAAAAACTTTCTGAGATTTCAGTAAAATCTACTTATCATTATAAGTATTGTAAGTACTCGTACAATTATGTATCTCATGTTAATAAAGCTATTGGGCTATTTTGATTTTTAATAAAGTGATTTTACTTTATAGGTTTATAGGTTAAATCATTTATTTGCCCTTCTTGATATAGATCAAGAAGCGTTTTTTCTGTCACTCCTATTGAATTTCACAGTGCTTGCTGAAATTTAACATCTTTAGATGGATCTGAATCGCGCGCTGAGCCGGTTGTTAGATATTGCAAAAATAATCGAAAATATTTAGTTTTACTTTCAATCCGAAGAGTACCTTGTTTTGTTTTATTACGGTCAAGTAATATTTATTAGGTTGTAAAGCAAGTATTTACAAATGTTTTCATTATTTGGTTATTCTATTGTTTACAGTTATTATCACGTCTTAGCTTACATTAGAAATTCTTGGTGGGATGCGATGTAACGTGGATACCTTATTTTCGTCAAGAACTATATATGTGTGTGTGTGTGTGTTTTTTTTATCAGTAGAGTTTCAACACAATCCTAAAAAAGTTCAATGAATTAAAATAATGCCGATAATTATATAATTTCAAGTCGGTGTTTTACATTTGAAGATCAGTTTTAAAGAGCTAAAGTCAAAATTTTCATTTTGATTAATTTAATTCGAGACTAAAATAAATGTGAAAGGGCTTTTATCTGCAATAATAATTTTCAACAAAAATAACATAGACTAAAAAGTCATACACACGGTCAATCATACTGAAGATTATCAATTGTACTACAAAATATTTAAAAGACTATTTCCAGTATAATGACCCGAATATCATCATTAATATTTGACTGGCACACTTAAAAGTTTTATGACATGGCTAAATGATTGACTATTATAATATGATAAGGTCATGCTTTTCTATAAAAAGCTGCAAGAAATTTTAAATCACGGACCTATTGTGTGTGAAAAACAAGATGGACTGTTCTAAAAGTTTACGAAGGAGAGCCGCGTACAGGAGTTCCTGTCGAAGCGCGCGCCACCGCTTGCAGGAGAGTGATCTATATCCCCCACCCTATTGCGGAGGATAGTAGCCCGCCTGCAAACGAGAAAGGCGCCGGGGCACGACGGGATAACCAACGCAGCACTCCGACAGCTGCCCAATAGAACACTTGTAGAGCTAGGTCGACTCTACAATGGTATACTGCGGAGGACTGGAAAATCGGCAAAGTGTTCGTTCTGCCGAAACCTGGGAAGGACAGGCGTAGAGCAGCCAGTTATAGGCCGATCACGCTGCTACCACACATAGCTGAACGCGCACAGAACTCTATTTATTTATGAGAGGGTTTTAGGGCAAGGAAATGCCCGCCGCGCTACCCCAGTGCGTGTTGACGAAAATTGTAATTACAAATTTCATTCGTGCTGCCGGGGATCAAACCCGGGAAAAATTTACCATATATAATAAAAACTCTTACGTCCTTGAAACTTGAACACTTTGTAGCTCGTGATGCCTACCGGACAAAGCTACAGCACGACACCGTGCAATGTAATTGAAGATGCGTAACCGCGACATAATTCTCAGTGATGCGCAAGCATAACAGGTATGTCACTTATATAATTGTCACCTCTGCAGTCTATTAATCTTTGCACTTTCATAAGTAATACAGAACGTAGTCGCTAGACGGTGTTGACGTCGGCTAAAATCTCTGCAATCGCCGTTTCGTCAAGGTCATTCAGGCTAATTAAAGCCTTAATATAATTGACCAAGCCAGGGTAAGGTCTTGTACAACTTTTTTATAGGATAAAGATAACAAACAAGCACACAGTCCACCTGATGGTGAGTGGATGCTGTAGCCCATAGACATCTACAACCATCCTCGCTTAAGATTTAAAATGCAGATTCGCTGCCAACTCTGAGGAATAACATAGAATGGCTATTTCCAGTGAAAAGTGTCTCCGGTTCTCTACGCTCACCATACGAAACATAGCAGCATTAAGCTGTTGTTTTACGCTGGTATTCTGTGAGAGCGTGGTCCTTCCCCGGTCGAGTGACTTATTCGTGCTACAACCATGATATATGTAGTTTCAGCATGGCTCTACCACTTAAAATATATAGTTTATATATAAGAGTTCTAGTGTTTAAAAAAAGAATAGTCTAAAATTAGGAAAAGGCAACGAAACTAACAATTTAAGAGCTATTCGCGATAACCATAATATGTAGGTTTTAGTTATACTACTAGGGTTGCCACCGTACTATAACATTTAGTATCGTACTATATTTCAGCCAAAATTGTACTATATATAAAAATGTTTTATCCCTAATTCAACTGTCGCGCTTTTTTATATTAACTGTGACTGGAAATCTGGAACAAGTAAGTTTTATGGAAAGATTTTTTTTCATAAATGTAAAATGGAGGAAGAAAGAAAAAAAGAGCACGTATTAATTTAATTAAAAAAGAATGAATCTAAATCGCTCAGATTCCTATAATTATTTTAAAGATCATTGATGACCAAAGCGAAGAGCAATAACAAATATATTTGGAAAAATACATAAATATTAAAAAGAAATGCGTACTTTTTATTTCCTGAATTTCCCCAAAGTACTATATTTTTGCGTCTTTTTTGGGAAAAGTACTACATTTGTTCAAAAAAGGGGGCAACCCTATTTGCTACCCCTTCTTGTAGCTTCATCGCATTACAATTAGTGACCGACCAAAGATTCGGTTTCGGAAAGTTGTGGCAAAAAAATCTAGTTGCGGTAATAGTTTCGGTTTCGGTAAAAAATCTGCCGAACCTTCGGCGGCGCCGAAACTCAGTGTTCATAGATTATCTTACGTCTTTCGGATGAGTTCGTAACTCGTGTATTATTCATAATTATACACAAACAAAAACTTTTATATTCAATATAGATTATAAATAACACTTATTGAAAGTCACTTTTTTGTTTAATTACCGCTGGTTCGAAAAAAAAGCCTCTGTCCTTGGAAGAACCAGCAAGAAACCCAGCGGGACTTTTTTTTAAATAACAGTATACAATCAGAGGCGTAGCGTGGACTAATATAAATGTGGGCGAAGTTCCCTTTTATTTCGTTCCAAGGATCTACCCAATAGATGTGTCCCTTTTTTTTTGCGGATGGAAAATCATCAAATGACGCCTTTCGCTCTGGGTGGAGCGGAAGGGAGTGTCAGACTTTTACTGACTAAAAACCATCCGTGTTCCTTCAGTGCCCTTACGTTCCGGAGCCGCGGTATCTCTTTCGAACAGCCCGCAGCCCCGGCAGGCGTCGGCCCTTGCGGGCCCCTTCACGCTGCTGACAGCTCTTTGAGGCGCGCGTGGAACAAAACGCGCCGTCGACACGGCCTGTCGTCGTTAGACGGACGGACGGCGAGCTACCCATTGCTCGCCGTCCACAGGCCCGCGCCTACGGTGGCCGGGGGCCACGACGTAGCCCCCGACGCCCGGGGCGTCTCCCGCGGCGGCCGGGAAGGAAAGCTGCTGCTCTCTCCTTCTCCCGCTCCGCCACCTCCTTCGCTAGCATCACTGCTTCGCAGAAGGTGGTGACGGCATCCCATTCCGTCTCGCTCCGGACCATGGCTTCGACCAGGGCCGGACGCGAGAGGTCGCCGCCGCCTATCGCCGCTACGAGGACACGGCGGTGCTCCGCCCAGGCAGGGCACACCTCCACGGTGTGCTCCACCGTGTCCTCCGGTCGATCCTCGCAGTGGGAGCACCCGGGCGTTTCCTCCCGCCCGATTCGGTGCAGGAACCTCCCGAACACACCGTGTCCGGTGAGGACCTGCGTCAGGCGGAAGGTGAGGACGCCGTGGCGTCTCTCAAGCCACTCCTCAAAGAGGGGTCTTATCGCCGCTATAGTGGCGTGCCCAAATAGATGTGTCCTACCAAGCATGCTTTGACCTAATCATCTGTTAATAGAAACAGAAACAGAAATTATTAATAATTCCTGACAAGTCTCGTGTTCCGTCAATGTAACAGTCGCAGTATTTGAAGGTAGTTACAACGGCCTCGCAGTCGCACTTAAGAGGGGCTTCTTGCGAGGCCCCAAACAAACACACTTAAAATTATGATTTCACTTTTACGAGCGTAAAAGTGATCAAATTAATTAGTCATCTGTGGTAAAGTCTGGGGGCACCGCATTTTAAGGGGCCTCACGTGGCCCCTTTAAGTGCGAGGCCGTAGGCGAGGGCCCACTTCGCCCACGCCTACCTATGACACTGCTTACAATCATGTATTTAACACAAAACAAATTAAAAATAGCTTGTTAGTGATCACCTCATTCCCAGGGGTTATTATCATCCATAAATTCCTTAATATTATAATAACACTTTTTATGCAAACTTAGATTAATGAAGTTTTTGAACTTTGACCAGATTTTGTATATTTTCTGGGATTTTGTTAAGTTGTGTGTATTGTAAGTCTATGAGTGTGATAAATTAAGTTAATGCTCTCATTGAATAATATTAAAAATATAGTGAACACAAGAAAATATGTTCTCTATTAGCGAGTACTTTTTATGGGTGAAGTGTTGATTTTTTAACAAAATTGACTTAAAAAAGTATTTCTTAACGTTGAATTGTTGATTTTTACTTTAAAATAAATAAATATATGACATTACAATTACTGTTTTTCATTAACATGCATTACCTATCTGTATATGTATAAAAAACATACCAGATTTCAGTATACAACAAAAAAAATTAACATATGTAAATAATGTTTCGGTTTCGGCCGAAACTGACACCCCGACCGAAGGTTCGTTTTCGGTTTCGGTTTCGGTTGAAAATCCTGTTTCGGTCGGACACTAAATACAATTATGATAGATCTCTATCGCACTCTCACCATATATCCATACAACCATATACTTCTCTAAACTGAATGCATATCTACACAGATTATTAAAGGTTTTTATTATATTAAAAAATTTAGACTATCTAGATAAAAGTCCATTATGGTACTAATAACGCTATACTAAGATTTGAATCTCAAAGTGAGATTATTTTCTATATTTTTTTTTATTTATTTCATATGACGATTGCAGGAGCTTAGATCCAAGATCGCCATCATTCCTCAGGAGCCGGTGTTATTCTCCGCCAGCTTGCGATACAACATGGATCCATTTGACAAGTACACTGATGCCGACATATGGCAGGCGTTAGAACAGGTAGGTATAAGTACTACTCATCCAGATATATACATATAACCTAAAATATGAGAGTAGAAGAATAAAGAGTTTTATCGTAGTCACAATATATTATGTATTTAATTTCTTTTCTTTATGTGTCGCTAACAGTACGCTGCTGGACATAGGTCTCTCCCATACCAGAGATTTTCCATTGCTGCGTCGTCTATCTAGTATATACTAAGATGGTTATATTTCTACTTATCAGACATCTCCTAAAGGAGGATATGAAGTTACGGAATCTTTAGGGCTACCACCACATTGGAAGGTGTTGAAAAAAATTAATTAATTTAACTGGCTCATAATAAACACATACTTATTTCACCTTCTGGCCAAGCCGGCCATATACTTCGAAGAACAGACAACTGATGGGGAAGAGTGGTTCTCGAGTGGCAGCCTCGCACCGGCAAGCGCAATGTTGTGAAACCCTGCGCCTTTGATCAGCTTGAACTTGTTTAGGCTATTAGGTGATAGTGATAAATTTAGACAGACATAGACATAAACATAATATGTTTATTGGCATCAATACACTTACATAGTATAAATTTAGAAGTAAATAAAAAAAACATACAAGGAATTCCGACTAGCATATGCTACCGCAGGTACTGCAGCAGAGCTTATTTTCAGCTGAGCCCTGATAAATATTGGTTTCTGTATTGTGCCCAGATCGTTACCGGTGCTAACTTTCCATTTAAAAATGATGAATCAACAATTCACTCAAAGTACACATTTTCATGTTATATATAAAAGTCAAAATATACACATACATACACGTACCCATACACACAAACGCCCACGTATATATACATGGTTATTTTGAAATAACCGGCCAAATTTTTTTTATAGAATTAGGGTGGCAAACGAGCACACAGTCCACCTGATGGTAAGTGGTTGCTGTGGCCCATAGATATCTACATCTATCCTCGACTACGAATCAAAATGCAGATGAGTTGTCACACGTGAGGACTACAATGGAATGCCTTGTTTCCAGTAAAAAAGGGTCTCCGGTTCTCTACACTCACCATAAGAAACACAGCATCGTTATGCTGCTATTTTACGCTGGTATTCTGTGAGAGCGTGGTACTTCCCGGGTCGAGCCGACCCATTTGTGCAACAACTATACCAGTAATATAGCTGCAGCATGGCTCTACCACGTAAAAGTAATTTGCAACGGAGGTTCAGAATAAATAATATAGGCAAATGGTGAAGAAAAATTAATTAAACTAATCTCAAACATTCAGTCCTTTTTATCTTTTAATACGTGGTAATGTATTATTTTAACTGATTTTCATTCATAAATATCTAACGCCTACTATTTTACTAAGTTCGAACATATTAGGGGTCGATCGGTCGGCAAAAACGCACACAGGGGAGCGCGCGTACACGTAGTTGTTTCTATTTTAGTGTTATTCTGTTCTAATTTATGCACTTTTGCGTTAACATATATGCATACATATACATACTATTATATATATATATATATATATATATATATATATACGTATGGGTAATTATTATATATATATATATATATATATATATATATATTAATTACCCATACGTTTATGAAATCGTATTTATGAAATAGCCTACCACTACACGCGAAACAGTGATTTCATCTCCATTAGCAAAATAAAAAGACAATTTATATTTTACGCCCACTGCTTTCGGGATTGGTTTTCATATTTTTGTTTATATTATAAATATATTCGTTTTATAACAAATTTTAGATATAATGATTTCTTATATTTACGCGAACACTACACATTGAATAAAACTATTTTTACGGATTTTATCGCGTTTAATTAACTTGTTTTATGTTCCCGACGTTTCGGTTGCTTTCCAGCAACCGTGGTCACGGGGGACTGAGGTGATTGACGTCCCGATGTCAAAGTTAACCCGGAGTACCTTCAGCTTTTTAATTATTAATTTTGGTCCGATCTACGCAGAATGAACTAACTGTGTCTTGAAGTCTTGCAGTGGTATGCTTGGGTTTAGTTTTAATTTTATGAATTACAGGATCCCAAGCAGGGAGGCTGGGTACTACCACCTGCTTGGGATCCTGTAATTCATAAAATTAAAACTAAACCCAAGCATACCACTGCAAGACTTCAAGACACAGTTAGTTCATTCTGCGTAGATCGGACCAAAATTAATAATTAAAAAGCTGAAGGTACTCCGGGTTAACTTTGACATCGGGACGTCAATCACCTCAGTCCCCCGTGACCACGGTTGCTGGAAAGCAACCGAAACGTCGGGAACATAAAACAAGTTAATTAAACGCGATAAAATCCGTAAAAATAGTTTTATTCAAAATTTTAGATAAATAAGCAACCTGTTCCGTTTCTTGAACGATTCCTCCATAATCGCTGGTGAGTTTAAGGCCCAAGGCACTAGTAATGGTGGTTAGTTGCGGCATGTGTCGATTAATTTTTTTCTAATCGCATTTGGGTGTACCTAGTAGTAGCCGACTAAACCTAGGCGAGCACTTCGGCTTTTAGTCGTAACATATCATAAATGAGCATAAGTAAAAGTAAATAAATAAGCAGCAATCCGCCGGCGGTCTAGTTGCCCGCCGAAATACCATTACAGTGTTAAAAACAATCAAACCGCTGAAAGAAGCCTAAGTAGGTTGTGTATTGTGCAGGTGGAGTTGAAGCAGAGTGTGACGTCGTTATCGGCGGCGGTGGCAGCGGGCGGCTCCAACTTCAGCGCGGGCCAGCGCCAGCTGCTGTGCCTGGCGCGCGCCGCGCTCGCGCGCAACCGCCTGCTCGTGCTCGACGAGGCCACCGCCAACGTCGACCCCAAGTCAGTGCACGCATAGTATACCATCACCTCTACCGTTACAGCCTAGCAAAGGTTCTCTCTCTCTCTCTCTATCGCTTCCCGCCTGTTCGTGCTCGACGAGGCCACCGCCAACGTCGACCCCAAGTCAATGCACGCATTGTATACCATCACCTCTATAGTTACAGCCTAGCAAAGTTTCTCTCTCTCTCTCTCTCTGTCGCTTCCCGCCTGTTCGTGTTCAAAGAGGCCACCGGCAACGTCGACCCCAAGTCAGTGCACGCATTATATACCTTCACCTCTACCGTTACAGCCTAGCAAAAGTTCTCTCTTTTTCTGTCGCCTCCCGCCTGCTCGTGCTCAACGAGGCCACCGCCAACGTAGACCCCAAGTCAGTGCACGCATTGTATATCACCACTTTTTTATATAGAAGAGGGAGCAAACAAACATGCGGTTCACCTGATGGTAAGTGACTGCCGCCGCCCATGAACAACTTTAACATCAGGGGAATTGCAGGTGCGTTGCCGGCCGCAAAAAATCCGAAGAATTCCTCAAAGCACTCCCTCTGGTAAATGCGATAGAAAATGCAAAGGGTTGCAACATCCTTTCACAGCGCCAGTGAATCGAACCGATCAGAAAGAACTCGTTCGTTAACGATTCGAGGCGCTCTATACTGAATGTCGTAGCTCAGCAAGGAAACTGGTGATCTAATTGCACAATTTCGCGGGAAACCCATAAAGAGTAAGCTTCGAAATAAGCGCTTTGTGCGAAATTCGATCGAAGGCCTTAGTTATGTCCAAACTAATAACCAAGGCCTTCCCCTTGGAGTGCACTGCCTTCACCCATCTACGAGTCAGGTAGACCAGAAGATCACTAGCTAATCGACCCCGATGAAAACCGCATTGACGGTCACTAATCACCTGGTGACCCTCAAGGTACCTCATGAGCTGGCAGTTGATAATGGATTCCATTATTTTGGAGAACAAGGAGGTGATGGCGATAGTCCTGTAGTTAGAAGGGTCTGGGCGGTCGCCTTTTATATCGGGTGGATCAAAGCTGTCTTCCATGAATTCAGGACTACTCCTAGGAAGTACGAGTACCGGAAAAGACGCGTTAGAGTCGATGCCAACTTGGGAGCACACGTTTTCAGCATAATCGGAGGGGTTCTATCAGGCCCACTCGACTTGTTGACGTCCAAGGAGAGAAGTGCTTTGCGAATCGAGCACTGTGTAATCCGCACATCCAGCATAGAGCATTCACACCGCGGGATGGTCGCCAGAGTATTCCCCCCGTCGAGAGTCGAGTTGGACGCAAAGAGAAAGGCCAGTGAATCGTCTTCTCTTTGCAGAGATGGGTTCCCTTGGACAGCCTTGCTGAGAGAACAAATTCATTGTTTCCCGAAGGAAGGCGGTCTAGTTTCTCGCCAATTCTGCCGATGTGCTCTAACTTTACCTAGCCTGAGCTGACTTTACTTTAGCCCAGACCCGGTAGCACAACAGTTTAACAGGGGCGACTAAACCATGGCTGAAATTTGCCTCCTTTGGGCACCACAGAAGATGGAATAAAAAATTTCATACCCTGGTACCACATCAGCGACAGAATCAGCAACAACGTTGAGATTATCCTGCGATAAGCAAACCTACCCCCAAGGGTAGGCTGCAAAAAAAGACCGCATTCTATCCCAATCGACCGATCTGTAGTGCCATACACCGCGGCAGCCTGCTAAATGCAACCGCTAAGTAAGCGTGAGTGGCACCACACTCCGGACTAGACAATGGTCCGAGTAGCCTAGAGAGGCTTCGATGGATACCTGATATCCGTCCGGATGAGAGTTCAGCAAAAGGTCCAACAGGGAACGTGCATGATCCGGTACATCTGGAACCCCCGTAGGCAAAGTAACCAGTTGTGTCAGACCATATGCCAAAAGTCATAAACAGGTTTCTCCGCATCATTGATTAAAAGTAAACCAAGCGATTCGGCGTGGTGGGCGTTAAGATTGCCATCCATAGGATTTGCTATAGCAAGGAATCTGTAGCTACGAGTATTTAGACATGGTCGATGAGTCGGTCTGTGTCGGCATTACCGCTATGGGACCTATAGAGGCACCCGTAGACGCACGAATGGTCATCGCTGTCTACGCGTAGCCAAAGGATGAACAGGTTCGAACATTCAAGACTACCGAGGCGTCGAGAACAGATATCCTTCTGAAGTACATATATGCAAACTCCAGCCCGAGGCACAAAGTAGTATTCCAATTTGTACACCGGGTAGGAGAGATACGAAGTATCAGCCGGAGGAGACACCTGCGTCTCCGTCAAAAAGAACAAGGCCGGCTTCGCCGTCTCCAGATGGTAGTGGACGGCGTTTAGTTTCGAGTGAAGTCCCCTGATGTTGCAGAAATTCAAGGATAGCGTGGCAGGGGTCGCTTTTGTATTGTTGCTCAACTTGCCCCGAGCAGTTTTTGTGTTGAGTGGAATTTTGCCCTCCCCCCCCCCTCCAGAATACGCGGGAGCGGTGAGCACCCACGCTCAGGAGGAGTGAAGTAGCTTGGTTGTGGATGCTCAGCGAAGGATTCTTCATTACCAGCGGTGCTAGTACCCTCCTGAGGTAGTATCTCATTTAACTCCGCCACCATATTAATGGGAGGGGAGGGGAGATCAGGCCTCGAACCACTTGCACTTTACTAGACGAAAACGCAGAAGTAATGCTTCTAGTTCACGCTTTTATTCTATGAGGTTGTGTTAACTCCCCGGTTCGAGCCGGCCCATCCATGCAACAGCTAAATCTGCCGCGTGGCTCTACCACTGTAATACTATGTCTACCGGTTACAGCCTATCGAAAATTCACTAGTTTTGTTTTAGTTTTATTTTGCCTCATACGAGATATTTTCCATAGTTGTGGCGCTTGGTTTGTTTCCCTCTATGCCTCTTATGACACGTACGGGACAATATACAATACACCCCATTCCCTTTCTGAATCCAGTTTGTACATCCCAAATTTTTCCGTCAGTTTCTTTCATAACTTTTTCAATTAACAATTCTCAGCTGGCTGATACACCGGTAGTTTTTACAGTCCTGCTGTGAACCTTTTCTCATATATATTGGGGCTATATCGGTTTTGCACCAGTCTCCCGGTACCCGCTTTAGATCCCAACATAAATTACATAAAGTGTACAACAGGCCTGCTACCACTCCCTTTCTCCAGCTCTTAGCATTTCGAATGATACTCCAACATCTAGCATATATCATAGCCTTACCTGCTTTCATGCTTTCCATTACTTTCATTATTTCATCTTTATTTATACTTATCTCTCTTCCTCTTTGATTATCCCACACAGTCTTCAAATCTAAATCATTCATACACAATTCCTTCAAACCACTAATATTCAAACTCAGTCTACATTTATACTTCTCTTTCACACCATCTTGTAACCTTTCTATTCTTAAACACTGTAACGCAGTCGTAAACACAGGTGTTCGATGCCGCCTACATCTGAATAAACCATTAATTCGGCATAAGACCAAGTAATCATCCGCACCTACGTTCGATCTCCGGTAAACCCTAGTGATCCTCAATATTTCATCCATAATTATGAAATCTATCATGCTTCTAACATCACCTCTTTCTCATGTATGTATGACGAAATAAAGTATTCATCACAAAAATATTATTTTCCACACATACGTTGAGAAGACTTTCACCATTCGCATTTACACTTTCATCACCAAACGTTAACAATATCCTTTCATAACCAGACCTCTTTACCCCAACCCTTATATCCTTTCCTTTCCGTTTTGTCTCATTTACACATAACACACCTATTCCTATATTATACATAATTTCGCATACTTCATTCATCTTATCATGCATTGCTCCACATACATTCAGCATAGCCATCGCAATATAATAAATAGGCTTCCGCAATCCACTTATCGCCCCTCCGGTAGACGAACGTGACGGGTAGGGAAGCTCGTCACCGGTTTTACTCCCGGAGAATCTTCGCACCTCTGCTTCGTTAATTTATTTGGTGTCAAACAGGGCTGTGTAGCTTCCCCGTGGCTGTTTAACCTATTTATGGATAGTTGTTTGAAAACTTTGAAAGTTGAAAATGTAGTTGTTTGGAAACTTTGAAAGTAGGAAAATGTGGGTTAAGAATCGGTGAGTCAACCGTCAAATGTATTTTCTACGCCGACTAAGTCATATTTACGTCGTCGGCAGCCGAGGTGCAAATGATGGTTACATTAATGTACAGGTCATTAAAAGAATTAGGAATAAAAGTGAATGCAAGTAAGACTGAAAGTGATGGTTTTTGAAAGAGAAGAAATTCATTGGCAGTTAGTTTGAACATCCGATTACAAGCCTATTAATGCTGGTATTCCACAAGGCTGCGTGCTATCACCAACGCTGTTTTTTCTGCATATCAATGATATGTTGCAAACCGGTAACATTCATTGCTATGCGGATGACAGCACTGGTGATGCTCTATACGTAGGCCGTGCAAATATTTCTCGGGAAACTGTCACCGAGTACCGGAACAAACTTGTGTCTGAAAGTCGAGTCTTTGCAGAACAAAGTCTCGGATTGGGGGCGACTAAATCTAGTCCAGTTTAATCCCCAGAAGACACAAGTTTGCGCGTTTACCGCTGTAAAGAACCCCATTGTCGTCTCTCCTCAGTTTCTAGGCTCTCCCTTTGTTGCCTCAGCCAGTATCGGAATCCTCGGCGTCGACATATCGAATGGTACGCAGTTTCGTGGTTACTTTGAAGAGAAGGCCAAATTGGCCTCTAAAAGCTTGGCGTGCTCAGCAGAGCGGGACAGTATTTCATGCCGCCACACCGCCTGCAACTTTACAAGGTGCAGGTTCGACCTTACATGGAACACTGTTGCCATCTCTGGGCTGAGGCTCCTCAGAGCCAGCTACTTCCACTTGACCGCATCCAGCGCAGAGCGGCTCGAATTGTCGACGACCGAGTTCTCTCCGTTCGGCTCGATTCACTGGAGCTGCGAAGAGATGTTGCATCCCT